TTTTTCTTGTCTTCTTGTCCTTTTTGGCTTTGTCTTTCCGGTGGCGCAGCTCGGCAGTCTGGGTGGCTTGCTCTCTCCCATGTCGCTGCTTATCCACCGTCTCCTTATAGACTTGCTTTCCTTGGGCAAGTAGAGAGCGTACTTCTCCCAGAAACCTGTCAATGTATATTCTGAGCTCCTCCTCCACGGGTTGTGTTTGGCCACCAGCTTGACGAATTCGTCTGCTTGCGTCCCCGTCTGCCTCCTCTTTTTGTGCCTTTGTAGGTATCGTCGAAAGTCCTCGCTATCCTCTGCTGACAGCACTTGCCCGTCTTGGTGTCCACGTGGTGTTGGCGCCTGCTGTCCCATTTGTAGTTCTCTCTGGTCGCTCTCTCTCGCTTGGTGTCTGAATCGTCTCCAGGTGGAAAGCCGGTCAAGTCAAAGGCACCCGTTCATTCTTGGCGTCGGGGCCTTGCTCTTTCCCCCCTCCGGTTCTCTCCGGCGCCGGGTGTCAGGTTGTGTGGCGAAGGTTGTTGTCGAGCATGTATTGCTGCACAAAAATTCGCCGTCTGTCAGGAGCTGGCTGCATCCGCGTTTGGGTGCCCAATGTTTCCAAAGCTCCCTCCACGCTTGCTAGTTTTGTGGGGTTAGATCTACCTGCATGCCTCGCTCAAATCCTTGCTCCGCCACCGCAAACTCTTCATGCCATCTTGCGTCCCCCAAGTTTCGAAATCCTCTCGAGACAAGAGCTCTACCGTGGTGTGTCTTGCCTGTGCATGCTTGACGGGGAACATTGTTGCCAATCTGGCACTTCTCCAACCACTAGCTTCACCACACTTCCACAGCTCGTGCAGGACATCCGGTGCGTTCTATCGTTTCGTCGAAGCTTGTTCGGCCATTCTGTGGGAGCACAGCGTGTCTTCAGAATCTGTATCACGCTGTGCCTCCGATATACGGACAGCCCCCCAAAGCATTGCCCTCGGCGGTCCTTTCAATTTCAAGAAACAGGGCCACCTCGTGTTCCACTTGTTGCTCAGGATATCTAGGCTGGCCAATGTGTAGTCCACATCTTTCTACGGTCATCCTGTGGGAAACACATGTGAGATACATTGTATAAGTACTATTGAAATCACCTTCCATCTTCATCCGACACGACAGTATGCAGGAACATATGACTCTTGCATTTATCCGGCTCGATTGATATCATCACATTTCCTTCGTGTGATGGCAGATGAATCACGACAAACGAAACCGCCGAGTTTTGTCAGTCAGACCTCATATGAAAGCTGGGTGACCACATCAATCAGTTCAAAAACACATGGCCAGCATCAGCTTTGCGTACCCGCACGAAAATCCAAGCCAGTATTCTGCTAAACTTCTAAAACGACCTGTTGATTCGATGACCTGCGGAATCTCACCGAATAGAGGCCTTGACTTGCATGCTGGGATACCCTGACACGTTTTTATCAGCAGAGGAGTTCGACCAAGAGATATATAAATTGCACGAGACAAGCCCGAGCAGGTGATCCACCAGATTCCGAAGCCCATGAGGCTACCATTACATCTGCATGTCCCAGACTTCGAAGTTGATTTGATACACGTGAGGGTGCTGCAAGAACACTCAACAACCCAGGCTCGAAAACCACTGGTTTTGCGGCGCATCAAGTCCCTGTTCTGATTCATCTATCCATCCAAGCCAACTTCAAAGACAGACGTAGGGGTGCACACTTCAGTGCTCTCCTCAGCAATAGACAGATGCACGATGGCTTCTGCATTCAAACGAGAAGCCGCTGATATGTCAGCAAGCACGAGCGCAAAGGAACCCGAGAGTAACCACCTACACTTCCTTTTTTTCACTGCGCGTGGAAATGTCAAGGTGGCAATCCGAGAGGGTCCCCCGAGCGAGTCAGGGCCGAAGGCTCCCAAAGCCTCAGACCCCTCCGTGAGACCTCAAGCCAAGAACATGGTGGCATTGATGTGCCTGGCGAGAACACTCCCGCATCGTAATGAGCGAGCGGGGGACCTCTCGGCCTGACTGCGCACCACGCCGTAGGTGAGGGAGTACCAAAAGCTAGAAGGAATCGGATTTGGATTCCAGCACTGACGAAAGAAGGCGCAAGCCTCTCAGTAGACGGTTGACATGGAGACGACGATCCGGAGCGATCCCTGGTAGCCCGGGTGCGTAAGCTCGTCAGCCCATTGGTTGAAATCCCGCTTCACGTGAGAGGGTGCCAGGGTGCAGCCCTTGCGGTGCAACAGGAGCATAAGCTCCATGAGAATGGCGGCCGAAGGCATCTTGCTGGACTTGCGGTCGAGGAGGGAGTAAACATTGCCCTGGATCAGCCAGCCGGCGGACGAGAATGCGCCGGCCCTTTTGGACATGCAGAGCGGGGCGCAAAGCGTCCCAGAGCAGGAGGTGCTGGGGGCAGAGGTGCTGCGCCACATGGACGTGGAGAGGCTTAGAAGCTTGCTCAAGAGCAGCTGCTTGGGGAAGGATCGACAGCTCGTGGGCGGCCGTGCTGGACGCGCAAACGAGATTTAAGGAGACCTCAGGTGCAAACTCCGGAGCAAGATCCTGGCCTGCAAGATCGATTCGATGCAGTTCTGGGGGAAAGAGCTGACCAAGGCCCGGGAGAGCAACGCGTTCCTGCCCGAGCATGCAGTCTGTGAGCTCCCATCATCTCTCCGAGCTGCCTGGCCTGGCCTCGGACCACGCAAGGGGAACCTTCCTTTGACCTCGAAGGATGTCCCGGACGCTCACCGAGACCGAATGTGACCTCCATGCCAGCGCTGAGTGCCGTGGGCACAGTTGGCGCTGGCCGTAAGGGCAGCTTGGCGGCGCATTGTGACCGTAAGCAGCTCCTGGCAGACTGGGAGACGATGCATGGAAGCGCTGGAGCGGAAGGCAGTGATGCGTACCTGATAAAGCAGTTCCGCCACTGCTCCTCGGGGGAGATCGGACGGTTAAGCCAATCATTTCTGCCCTGCCGGATGTGGATGAGAGACCCTTCAAGACGAGACGCAAGATGACGGTTGATGGATGATGGGACAAAGAGGAGGAAGGGGCCAACGACTCGGAGGCAGCTGGAGCGCCTCCAGTCGGTTCTTAGAGACACGCTCCTCATCATGTGCACGGGGGCCTTTTCAAGCCAGCTCAGTCAGTTCGACGTCAAGAAGCCTGAGCTTAATGAATTCTTCTGGCAGCGAGAATTTAGGTGTACGAAGGACATCGTCCTGCTGCTGTTCGCAGGCAAAGATGACGCATCATCGTTGGACTCAGTCCTCCACTCCTTGAGGCCTGACCTCTCGTAGCAAGTTCTGGTGGTGGAGATCGGGATGCCCTCAATCATCCTCCAGGATCAGCCCTATGGATGACTCTGCCTCCAGTTCGAGGACGCTCAAAAAAGGAATCCTGGGGACTGCCAGTGGGATGCCGTAGGCCAGGTCTGCAAGAGGCCTACATGCCTGTGCACCAGCCTCCAGCAAGGTGCAATCATGGCTCTCACCTTGTGCGCCGAGGCTTTGAAGGGCGTCGCGACGGGCATATCGGAAGCATCACACCTGGGCCGGCTCAGGACTCGGAACCATCCTTCAACTGCTTCGACAGTTTCGGCCTCAGACAGACCGGAGTCCAAGCCAACGTGGGTTTCAGCCACGACCATGTCGGTCCGCGTAGGCTCGCGTACGACCTCCCGGAGCGCTGGCCCGGATGGTGGTCTTGGTGGCCTTTTGGCAAGACACCACAGGCTTCTTTCGATCTGCCAAAGTGAGAAGTCACACCCCTTCCCAGAGCCGATCCTTCAAGAAGTCCGGAACATACGGGGGGTGAGCTTCTTCGCAAGTTGCCCGGGCCAACCCTTCTATCGCGACCTCATCAGCGAACTCGCGCATGTCGGAGGAGATGTAGTCGGAGTGAAGGAACCTACTTGGGAAACCCCAGGGTATGGCCCTCTGGAAGGAAGAGCTTCGTCAAGGAGGTGTCGATGGGCATGGTGGAGGGCCCCCTCACCACAGAAGAAACAGCCACATGCCTCGCTGCTTGGCAGGCAGGCTCAAGGGCTCCTAGGCAATGCTGCCATTCATCCGCCAGGTCTGGTCTTCATCTCCACCAGGACCGGTGCCATGTCGACAGGTTTTGCGTCGCGGTGGCTGGATCCATGCCCAGCAGTGCGGGCACCTTGTCCGGGGCTTGTCTCCAGGCTTGGGGGTCCAGGTCTGGCCTCCAATGCCCTATCGTCCCACAGCGGCGGGTGTGCCTCGTGCTGCCGCTGCCTTGTGGCAATGTGGCACGTCTCAATGGCGCTCTCGATGCGTTCCCGGTTGAGCTCCCTGCTGCGGAACCATCTCATCCTAGGACATAGAGCGGATGAAGGACTGCACCCTCCGGCATGCCCTGGATCAGCAAAAGGCCATCCGCACCCTTCTCGGTGGCAGACATGGTAGGGGCCACCTGGCGCAACGTCGCCTTCTCAGCCTGTAAGGTGTTGTCATCATCTCCCAGGTTGAGGCGGGCCACTGTCTTTTGCATCTCCTCAAGCTTGGCAAAGACATCGTCCCTGGTAACATTCTCGACGATCTAAACCTCCTCGTCATTTGGGTTGGCCGTCAAGGGTGCCAGGATAGTGGCACCATCAATCTCCCGAAGCTCCCTTGCCGTCGCGAATTCCTCAACAACGGTCCAAGCATCAGCAGGTGTTTCCGGTGCGGCCATGGCGAGCAAAGGCGAGCGATGGGAAAGTTTTCGGAAATTCGTGCGCAGGGGCACAATCAGCTTGAGGCAAAATGGCATTCGCCACTGGCGCAGCTGGTTCAATTGGCCATAGTAACTTCTCCCTCGCCATCAAGATGAAGAGGAAGTGAAGAAACTACAACGTGAAACCCTGCTTGCCAAGGATATAGAGGCTAGAGCGGCTAGAGGAAGCAAATTGCCAGTCTTCCCACGGAAACCTGAGACTAGGATGAATCCACGCCATTGGACCACTGTGCAGCGCTATATTAATCACAGGAGCCCTTTCAAGCACTGGAGACGAGGGCAGACTCTGGCTCGGTGGCGGGCCACAGAGCTTTCTTCTGCGTTGATGACCAGCTCGCCAGCGCAAACTGCCTCGCGATTACGCCCAAAGGAACTGCACGGCCTGGCTGCACGGCCAGGAAGCCTGCGGTTCAAGAATCCGCATCGCCCAAGAAATGAACCTGACCGACGAGGCATTCTGAACTTTTCACAAGGACTCGAGGGTCTGTAGGCTAGGACCAATCTGGCAATGGACCACTTTCAAGTCCAGTTTGCTGTGGACCTTCCGAAACAACAGCGGCCTGTAGACTGCCCGAGCAAAGTTCCTGGAAGCTTCAAACAAAAGATGCACTGTTTGCCGGCACCTGCGAAAAGTCCGATTCGGGAGATCGCCTCTCGATGGATGTGCGCTGACACCTGACAAGGGATCGTCATGTACACCCTTAGGAAAGCTTTCTTAATTGAGCCTTCTTCCTAAGCCAGTTCGGAAGATCCATCATCAGAGTCGTTTCATTGAATGGAGAGCGCTCTTGGTAGAAGAACCTGGCGAGAGTGCTTTGGTAAACAAAATCGTTTCACAGCGCAGATTAGTGCAACGCTTGCTTGGCGAAGTCCAAGCCAGAACCACTGGTAGTGCCGCATCACTTCTTTGACCTGTACCAGGTCTGGTGAGGGCCGAAGATCGCCGAAGGATTCAAAAACGGCCACGGCCTTGTTCTGGCTGATGCGCTGCTCTTCGCAGAAGTGGCGGACCAGCGACAAACGCTTCTTTGTGAGCGCCTTCAAATGTGGACGTTCAAGCAAAAGCCGTCCAAGGCACCAATGCCGCGTAACGCCATCATACCATGTCGCCTCCATACCGCGCTCCTGTCCGGCCAAAGCAGCGATAGACCCGATAATATAGCCTCGGGATCAGCGGCCAGCTGCGTCGATCTTAGACGATCCGAGCACCGGAGGACAGAGCCGAACATCGTGGCACCGAAGATCATCGCAACAATTGCATATACCTCAGGCAACTGAAGGCCCCTTTTCTGGGATTTGTGTGCCCTTGAAGCGCTGGTTACGTGAAGACGCTTGTACGAGCTCGTGGCCCTTTCTCCATCATTTCTTGGATGCAGATCACCATAGCCTGCTCCACGGTTTAAATACTTCAAAACCGATGCTTCCAGGCCTCAACATGAAAGTCGGCTCATGGAACCTGATCCCAAGGAGGCCCAAAAGCTCCTGCGGATACGACTTGCTCGACTTTCAATGCCTCTAATCCGCTGGAGGGTCCCAATGTGTGGGATCAGAAGTACATGCTGCAGTCGCCTGTCTCTAGTACACAGATGTGTTTCTCGGTCTAGGCAAGTGAAATCTCCGAACACCAAGGCTTCACTGCGCCTACCGTGGTCATTGTAGTGAAAGCCCAGTACAGGGAGGCGATGTACCTGGCCAGGGCAATAAGACATGCTGGTCTCAAAAGAAACCCGAAGGTCACTGATCAAATTTGTCTTCCGGCCCGATGTTGACCTCGGACCACCACGTTGTTGATGACCTGAAACTCAGGTTTTAATTTTTCGGGCCTGTCATCTACATGTGCTGCATTATGGCTCAGGAGTGGGCAATGCCTTGTTGCAACCAAGTAAGCCAGACTCGCATTGTGTGGCAGAGGTGTCTGTGTGAGTCGAAACGAAAAACCTGCCACTGGGCACAGACATCTGTCCTTCACGAAGCCTGCATGCTCTCCAAAAAGTTGAGTCTATGCCAGAGTAGATGCTGCAAACTTGCATGTAAAGTTGCCAGCAAACCAGAAGCAGCCAAGGAAGTGCGACATCACGGTGAGCTTGGCCCCCAAGTTCAGACACCTGGCTTAAGTAGTTTGGCAACTAGGCACCGAGCCTACCCTAACAGGCAGCAGGCTTCAGCGTGAGGTGCGAAAGGTCAAGGAGGTCCTGGACAGCAGACATGATGGCGAACACAAGTCGCGGCAATGCACAGCTGGATGAAGATGCTGAAGGACTACCAAGACTTGCTTTGGTGACGGCTTCAGAAAAGCCAAGAGTGGCAATGCTGGGTTCGTTTAGTGTTTCCCTGTCCTCAGCCTGACTCAAGCGTCACTAAGTGTCCATCACTCCACGATGAGGACATTGAGAATCTCTGCTGCAATGGATCTTCCCCCCTCTTGTCGTGGGCTTCGAATGGATGTGGGTGTTCAACCGGTTCGAAGATGCTCGAGCATGCCAAAGCCCTTCCATGCACCGGGTGGGTGCATTCGACTCACATCCGACTTGTGTGCTGCTGCCTTGAAATCGAGTATGTTCTTGTTGGTACTCGCTTCAATGACATATAACTTAACTTCGCCATCGGCCTTGATCATCCATTGCTTGAAATGGCGAAAATCCCGATCCAGAGCCGCAGTCCTCAACTCTCTGGATAAGCCGTCCTCGGTTCAACCAAAGACAAAGACTGACACAGGAGGCTTGCGAAACTGATACAAGCGCCAGGAGCCAGACCCATCTTCAGCATTCGTGCTAGCTTCAGAAGTCGCATGAGGCGCACCATTCGAATCTTCGCTCAGGCACGACAGTCTTGGGTCCAGCATGCAGTGCCCAACGTGCCACACATGTGGGCCGCACCATCTTCAGGGCACGAGCTTCGGCGCCGCCGCCACCAGTCATGGCCTGTGGATGCAAAGCCACGTAGGACATGCATGCTGCGTCGATGCCGATGCCCCCGAGGCCCTAGGCCGGCCTCAACGAAACGATCCACGGGAAACGTCGAGAGGAAGTCGGGAGTGAACCAGGTCCTGGCGTTATCATGAGCCCCATGAGCTACTCGCCCCGGCCTGGCAATGCGGAGGCAATGGATCCTCATATACCGCCCTGCTATGTGCCATCCGACCTGATTGGAGCAGAGGCTTCGAGTTCCGGTTGCCGAACCCGAACCCTGCATTTGCAGCTGGTTTCGTTGCCATGCTGTCTGCCACTGCTGACACTTACTAGCTCAAGCACATGAGCTAGCATGAACATCAGAATTTCGGTGAAAACCCCCCAACCCCACCTAGATGATGCAAGCATCCGACGAGTTGAGATGCAAAGTGTGTTTCGTCGTGACGTGTCCTGCATGCATATGCAAGCGTTGCTTCGCGGAGTCTGAACGGACTCATTCGCACTATCCAACCAACGCCACGATCGACGTGGCTCAAGCAATGGTGCACAAATCGAGAAATGTACCGAGTTTTGCCAAAGGCCTCGGCTTGGAATCAGGGTTTTGGGGTTGCGGTGGTGGTGCCCAGGGCCCCACTTCCTGGTACCCGAGTCCCGACCCTACCGGTTCTTCGGAGCTTGATCTGCAGTAGCAGCGATGCCTAGTGATTATGATGATGTCCCCTGTCAGATCAGGCAAGCGCTGCAAAGGCCGTAACAACACCAGTCACCGGCATTCAGCATCGTTACCGATAGCAGTCCGCAAACACAGGTTCTGACATGCCCAAACGCTGAAGCGCATGCAGAACCAGCCAGAGAGCACCTGCAGTTCGCATCGGCAGCGTTTCTTCCATCAGAGCTAAGATTGCAGCAGATGTTGCAGGTGCAAACACCTGAAAAGTTCTTGCAAATGCTGAGATCTGACCGAAGGGGCGCGCTTTCTACTGTATCGTCTTCAGATGATGTGCAGAGGAGGTTTGATGAGCTGAGCGGTGACATGCAGTTTCGGACACAACGCTTAGCAGCATGTGTCTCTCCTGTCACAGGGGAGGCAGATGCTACTCGACAGCATTTGGGAGCAGTAGGCCAATCAATGAAAGACACTGAGATTTTGTGGAAACGGGCCAATGGCCAGTTCACGGAGCTCATGACTCGCGTGGATCAATTGGAAGCGGCAGTTAAGAATGAAAGCCAAGCACAAGCCACGGTTTAAGTTAACATGAGCACATATGAACATGTTGATTCAAACTATCAAAGACCTGCAGGCAGAGTGGGCATGCATGGACGCATCGGAACGAGTTCACACAGAGCGCGGCAAAGTAGTGAGTCAAGAAGTCGCGGGAGTGTGAGGCTGGTCATGTAATTCTCACGACGGAGCTAAGGGAGCGCCTCGATGCTTTACGCGAGGCAGACGTCTTGACTAAGAGTGATGGTGCTCAAATGCATGATGTACAACTGGGTCTTGATAAAACGATGGAGAATCTTGAATCCCGTGCGCATGCCGCTGCTGACCGCGACACCCGGCTGAAGAGTGCTGTTAGAGTCTGGAGATTACCACCGAACTTCGAAGGGGCTGTGGAGAGCTGGAGACGAACACGGCCGTACTGATGAAGCATATTGGCGATGACAAGGCTGCTCAACAGCTTGCGGCATCCCGAAAGACCGTGCAGGCTCAAAGTCCTCTGGTTGAGCATGCAGAACCTGCTCATCACGTCTATGGCACTCCAGGTGTCCAGCACGAAACTGACGCAGCAGACGCTGCAGACGAGTGGTGGGATGCTCATGACGATAGGCCGATATCGTTGTGGGCGCAGCCTCCAGGTTTGAGCTTTGCACCGTCACAGCCGCCCCCGCCAATACCTTCAAGCTTACCACAACTTCAGAGATCACCGAAGAGCACGCAAGCAGCATCTGATAAGGTTTCACATGCTGCTTTCAGACTTCTGAAGGAGTGTCCGAAGCTGGACATTTTGAAGGGCGAATGTTGGGAAATCGGGATGCAGGTCAACCAATGAAAAGCCGAGACGACGCCCCAACTACGTCAGCAGCGAAACGCCAACACTCCTGAAACACCATGTCTTGCAGGAGCATCTCAGGGATCGGGAACAGACGCATGCACGCGCGTGCATGATGCGAGCAGGGTCTCGGGGCAGCTTTGATCAGTCACCTTCCTCTCCATGTGATTTTGTTTGGATGATCACGTTAGGAGAAGATGAAATGGACCAGCATAGTCAAACTCCCACGATTCCTAGTGCCGCTTGTTGGGAGTGCTTGCATCCTGACGAATCGCGAGCACTGGAGCGGCAAGCATGGGAGTGTTCTCGGGACGGATTTACATATCAGGAGCTCATCAGCTTGACCTCCATGGGACAGCAGTTGCATGTTGCAAACTTTGTCAGAGCTGTATCCGGTGACTCAGATGTGGCACGACTGTTCAGAGAGAGTGCAACAGCATCATGGTGCGCGATCCGTGCGCAACGGAGCAGATCTGGATCATCTTGGAGAGGATGATTTGAGACATTCCCGTAGTTCCTGGATGCGAGATCCTAGAGGCCTCACAAGCCATCAATCGAGGTTACGTTATGCTATAGGAGCCGCCGGAGACTTGGACGTGGGCTCATCGCAAGAGATCGGGCATGCACTCGAAGGGGAGCAGGATGCTGAGCCTTTCGGGGTACAGAGACGAGGAAAATGAGAAAGCATCCGAGCACACAAGGCTCAAAGCCCTGTGTACTTGTAGACTGACGAACAAATGAAACGATCCGCCCACAGTTAACAACCATGAGCATTGTGCAACGCAATCGTACATAAGTCACCACCGCCAGTTGCCATCACGTTGAGGGCCTAGATCTTGTGCATTAAGTATTCGGATGACACTCAGGAATGGTCACTCAGTGTTCAACGCTTAGCGCAGGCTGGAGGCATGTTCTGTTGAGATGCGTTGTTACGATATTGGTATCAGGAGGGGCAGCAACACACGAAGGTTGTATGTCAGGTCACGGGCCAGCGGACGCGGACATCATTGCAGGCTGATGGAGAAACACAATGCCTCGCGCCTCGTATGTGGATGCTCGGCTACTTCCCCATCACACTTTCACGAGCCTGGTTCTTGCCATCGACACTACTTTCAAGCATCATCGTGATTCACAATCCTCCTGAGACTGGATTGGGCCTTGTTGGCTGTACTGAGTTCAAACATGGAGAGGCTTTGCAATGAGTAACAGAGGAGAAGGTCCTCGTTGGCCGTTTGCTCCCCATCTCAGGAGCCGCCGTCAGGTGCGCCAAGGTATGGTATGGCAGAGCAGAGGCCCACCCAGGTACCTGCAGCTCTCAGCGTTTCAGCAAAGCGAATCGCAACATCATGGCAACTCTCAGCGAGCTTGGGTTCAACATGTCAACACATGTGCAGTCCGTAGCAGCTTCGGCAGCCACCGCCAGCATGAACCCGAGAACATCCAGTCAAGATGACGACACCGGTGATCATGCAGTGTGTGGGTTTGGGTCTGAGGGGTTCGTGTAAAGTTCGTGGGCTTGCATGTAGGTTTCAGGGTGAGCCCTCACCAAAGCCTCCGCGTGTCGAGCCAATAGCCTGCGTGACTGCTAGTGTTGAGTGTGGTCCTGCATCATCTTTTCTGGAAAAGGCGCGTCATGGCGCGTTTCCAAGCACTCAAGCGTCTTCCGCAGCAATGCAGCAAGGGCCTTCACCAGCGGAGGTGTCCCAAGTGTGTTACAAACGCAAATGTCGACGGCTGATCCGAGCGACGTTTCCAAGGGCCCTTTGCCCATGGACTAGTCAGCCCCTCATCCAGCTACATTTTCACATCATCGCTACTTTTTGTTGCAAACTTTATGCACTGGTTGAGAGTTCCCTGTGACATGCCGTTCGTGCGTTTGTTGCTAACAAACGAAACCGAGGAAGTAGCTCAAGCTTTGGCTTCAATCATGCGCCAAATCATGTCGCTCAGTCAGGGCGTCCCAGAAGTGTTCCGCATCCACGTGGGCCAAAAATTCGTTGGTAAGGCATTCATTGCAGAAGTCCAGCGACTGAGCATTTGGCCAACAACGAGTGCTCCGCACTCGCCTCAACAAAATAATGGGAAGGCGGAGCGGCTAGTAGGACTGATCAAATCTGCAGTTGCTTTGTTGTTGTTGCACGGTAAGCTACCCCTGCGACTGTGGATGTTCTCTGCGGCGTCAGAAATCAATACAGTTGCCACTGCCAGCTGATCACCGTGCTGGTCAGGCTACCTGCAACGGTAGCATAAGTTTTCGAACCTAAGGCGTACGGAGGATGAAGCCATCTTCCTAGCGAATGACGAGGACTCCAGGTGGAGGCCGAGCCATGGTAAGGCGCAGAGGCGAGACTTCGGTTCAAATAGTTCGCTTTCAAGTGCTGGGCGATCAAGTGACGAAGCGATGGAGGGTGGTCACGGGACCTGCCGAAGAGCAGATGGTATGGGTTTCCACTGAACGGGATCTGAAGTAAACATGCTGACTCCAGGAGGCTGCAGTGGACTTCATCAAGCCTGAGGCCGACGATGTCGCTGCCACGATGAAGTACAAGCTTGCTAGTCCGGAGAGAGCAGAGGACGCTGGCAACGCAAGCTCAAGCCGGTACATGCCGGTACGGAGGTAGGCCAAGCAATTCAGTTTCGCAAACCAACCTGACAGGAAAAACCACTTCAGAAGTGGACTTGGAAAAATGGCTCACGGAGGCGTGGGCACAAAGCTTGAGAATCTTGCCAGCAAAGATGTCTACGACGAGGCAAAGCGAACCAAAGTCCCCGCAGGTGCGAAGCCGATTCGTGCTGATGAAACTGAGGATGGTGCCTCGGTTGAAGATGCATCGTTAAGAGTTGGCAGGCCAAGGTGGCATTGGTGGTGTGTGGGAAGTGGGAAAAGGGTACCATACCGCATGCGCCAGAAAACCAATCTTTGAACCCTGGGGCAAAAGCGATACGGATCGCAGCGAGTTTGATGGCACGACACCACAATTGGAGAGGCCTCGCGCTGGACATCAGCGCGGCTTCTTAAACGCAAAGATCCAAGGCGAGAATGTGTACGTGTCCCCACCGCCAGCGCTTGTGAAGCGCAACATCGTGAGCGGATCAGTGCTTTGGAAGCTCAAGCGAGCTCCTTACGGGCTGCATCGTAATCCGAAATTCTGGGAACACGACAAATATGCAGAGCTTGAGGTGAAAAGGGCAGTTAATCCCGATGGTCAGCGATTGAAGTTGGTCAGCGACTGAAGTTAGTCCGCCTGAACCCGGTGTGTGGAATGTGGCAAACGAATCGGATGCTGATCCCAGCTCTGGTTGTTTCTATGTGGACGACGGATTTTTGGTGGGACCTTCGTCGCTGCTTTGGCAAAGGCATTCATGCCGTCTTGGACATTGAGGAATCCAGGCATCTTGTCTTCAAGGGATTTTGCGGAGCATGACGTGTTGTGTTGGTCTTGAGATCCCGGTGCGGAATGAGCTGACATTCTTTGGATGTGAGCTGAAGCGCAACACAGTTTTTTTTGCGTTCGTCCATCGAACACATTGGCTAGAAGCTGAGCTTGTAAAGAGCCGGATCCCTCTGGCAGGGGCATACAAGTTGCACAATCGCACATCGGAGGCTTGATGTGGTTGGCACTCAAAAATAGACCAGACATCGCAGCAGTGACGGGAGGATAGTCTGTATCGCCACGCTCAGCCCTACGAAGGCAGCTAAGGTGCAATTTGGGCGTGGCGCTACTTGCTGCACAACAAAAACTGTGGCCTGTGGTACAAGAATGCAGTTGGAATGCGTGATCCAATGCATTTCTGTGGTGATGCATCGCTTGGTGTAGGCTCGAGCCGCAGCCGCACTGGCGCTCTGGTCTCCTGGGGACAGCATGTCACAGCATGGACGTCATGCATGCACTACATTACCGCGTGGAGGGCATTCGAAGCACAAGCGGATGCTGGCGCCACGGCACTGGAAATGGATATCGGAGTGCGTGAAACAGGGAGGCTCACGACGCGCAGACCGGCTCTGCCCTTGTTTGGGGACAATGTCGCATGTCTGACGAATCTCTTGAAAAGACATCAACATCACCAAGCTACGAGAACTTGGCAATTTGGCCTGCGCTGCAGTTGGGTTCGTGATCAGGCGGTCTCCGAGGGCATCGCGATCAAGTACATGTGCGGTACAGAGATTCCAGCGGATCCATTGACAAACAAGGCCTTAGAACAAGCAAGGCCAAAGTTGTTCGTCGTTAGCTCGCACGCGTTGCGGGTGAAGTGCGAGACTCTGGACTACACGAAGCTCCGATTGCAGTAGTCTGTTGAACGATGGGTGGATCATTGTGTCCTTTACGAGTTTCAGTGCTCACCGACAGAGTTTGCTTGTTTGCTCCTGGCGGTTGTGTGGTAGATGCTGGATCTTTAGAGGGCAGCAGTTAACCATGCAGCAGAACGGAGTGAAGGTTGGTGACTTTGCGCCTGGAACGCCCACTGGTTAGTGCTGCGTTTGTTATGTGATCTTCACTACCTCCGTTTGGGCACTTTTTCTTTGTACAGTGAAACGTGAGGAGGACTGTGTTTGGTAGTGACGTGTCATGCCTGCATATGTAAGCATTGCTTCGCGGAGTCTGAACGGACTCATTCGCACTATCCCACCAACGCCACGATCGACGTGGCTCAAGCATTGGTGCACAAATCGAGAAATGTACCGAGTTTTGCCAAAGGCCTCGGCTTGGAATCAGGGTTTTGGGGTTGTGGTGGTGGTGCCCAGGGCCCCACTTCCTGGTACCCGAGTCCCGACCCTACAGGATCTGCGGATGGTGATCTGAAGTAGCTGTGATGCCTAGCCTAGTGACTATGACGATGTCCCGTATCAGATCAGACAAGCGCTGCAAAGGCAGCAACAACAGCAGTCACCAGCATACAGCATCGTCACCGATAGCAGTCTGCAAACACAAAGCAGAAGCCAATACAGACTTCCCAGACTTGACAGGTCACGGTTTGGCTTGACCTGGTTCTGTTGCTCATTTTCCTGAAGAGACCTTTCCGATCAGAACACATTCATCTCATGTAGCCTCATTGCCGACAACATGCCGATGCTCGGCCATGCATTTGTCTGGAGAGCAGGACTCGCAAGATTTCAATCGAACAAGGCCATGATGCTCTCAAGAAGTGCTGCGAGACCCCCACGGTGTCGATGGTTCCATCGGCATCCACAAAAGCAGTGCGAAAGCACAGAGCCTGAGCTTCCCCAGCTCTGCAAGTCCGCCGTCACTGCTTCACCGAATCACGCCCATAAATCTGGGACGAGGTTCCAGATCGAAACTGAAGATGATGTCAACAAAGATGTCAACTGCTGTGGCCTAGATTCTAGATTGGAGGAAGAACGCCAAGAACCTTGTAGAGGCGACTGAGCTAGAGGCCAGCGCTCCAGGATGGATATCAAAGGAGATTTGCCACGGAATGATGAGGACACTGCGCAGCGAGGCTTCATCGCACTCCAAGATTCGGCAATGCTCAAAAGTGCGACTGTCCCTAGCCGAGGCTTCAAGGCTTTTCTTTGACACTGCATGTTCAGGGCAGCTTGAAAAACGGAAGCTGCCGAGTTCCATTGGAAGGCATCTCAAGGGTTTCAAACCTGATTGAGGGCCTTGCGCCTGGGTGACACCTTTACGCAATCGGCCCAGCCGATGCAATGTCCTCTGTGGCAACTTTTCGCCACGCTTTAAATAATTCTGGCGGAAACTGCTCCGGCACATCATCAGGGACTGCTTAAGGATTGCGAACCCGAAGTCGTGAATCGGAGGGCTGTTTTACACAGATGGCGAACCGGTGGGCAGACTCGGAACTTGAGATGCATCACTTGTCAAAAACCTTGTCTCCGATCAGGGTGTGCAAGCATGGACCCACAAGGACGTGCTTTCAGGCCAGGACCTCTTTGGGCTCTTTCGGGTTCGTGAAGTCCCAGCCTGCTGTGAAGCAAACTTACCATGTAGGCACGGCTGATTGCGCTCGCAATCATAGGAGTGAGAGCTAAGGCCAGCACCTACCAGAGCTGGATTTAGGCTTTTCTGGCCAACATTCTTGCTGCGCTCGCTAGCCCAGAATGTGTGGTAACCTCTAGTGCAAGCGTTGCTTGATTCCCTGCCCTACGACTGTCTAGTTCTCGTCTTGGGAGCTGTAGTTTTCCACGAGGTCGGCTTCCTTCTTGTGAGAAAGCATAATGACGGCCTGAGCAGATGCAGCTTGGCAGGCGAGGCTGGCTTCATTTAAGCTGGAGTCTCCGTCTCTGGGGCTGCAGCTGGCAGAATGTTGAGCGTCAGCTGGATGATGCAGAGTGCGACAAAGATGCTGAAAGTCCACAACGCAGGCTGCCAGCAGGTTTCGGATTTTACGGAAAGCTAATCGCCACTAGATCCCTTCTGCAACATATCAATTGAGAAGTATTTCTGTCACTTCCTCTCTCTGTGTAGATCCATCAGCAGCTTTAGGAGTCTCGGACAACGCCCCGTCGCACCTGGAACTCATAGTATGCTTTCCAGTCTTTGATGTAGCCCATCGACCAAAGCACAACGTTAAGCCATGTAGAGGCCTCGTGCAAACGGGCGAATTGGGAAGGACCGAACCTCTGACAGTATCGATTTACTCAGGCATCAGCCACATCTTGGAAAGTGCTGAAGGTTGTCCCATAGACTGTGTACAAGAAAACCTGAATCGCAAGCATGCTCGGGGTGCCAGCGGCCACAAGCTAAATCTGCGCGCATTTCACAACTTGGAAGCAGACTCCGAACGAGAAAATCGTCAAGCACACCATGAGGAGGACTGTCAAGAGAGGCGCTGCAATCTTCCTCCTGTCCAAGTTTTCACTTTCAACATTGATTGCAACATGCGATCACGCTCGGCTGCGAGGCCGCAACTGCCGCCTGCTGTGTTTAGGAGCAATATGTATGTATGCATAGTGTATATATGCATACATACATACATACATACATACATATACTGCACATATTTACATATACGTACAGATATCTGCTTTGACGGCTTTCAGGAGTTGGTTCGAGGTCTCATTAAAGTTTGCATCTGGACAACCGCCGCACAAAGGCTATCTTGGTGTCCCAGAAGACCGGGCATGCTACGAGTTGTACTGCATCCCTTTGTAAGATGCGTTTCCAAACTGTCCACAGCACCTTTGGGACAACACAGCTAACCGGCTCGCTCACGGTTGCATATAGCAAGCTGTCCCGGGAGAAAAACCATGCAGCTTCCAAATCTTGCTGCCCGTTTGGTCCGGTGGGCTCGGAGCCATAACTTCTGAGGCTGGTGCGGCCAAGGCCATGAATGCGGCGCTGAGCGAGTTGTACACGAGCGGGATGTGGCTCCCACCGGACCAGGCTGGGAGGATTGGCCAGCGAGGCTTCTACTTCCTCCGTGCCAATGCGAAGCTGGCCTACAACTACGGATGTTTGGGTTTCACTCGCTTTCCTTTGTTTCCGAAAGCACACATGATTTTCCATGCGCTCCATGCGCTTCTTGTGTGCTGGAGGCCGCGCACGCATGCTCGTAATCCTGTCTGTGAGTCTTGCCCACAAGACAAAGATTTTGTGGGCAAAGTCGCGAGAATCACTCGCCGTTGTGGCACAAAAGGTGTACAGCGAAGTGCGCTGCACCAAGCCGCCCTGTTTGAGTGGTAGCCATCATTGGGCGGACGGAGGCCTCCGAAGGCGTAGACGTCGGCCCTCCATGGTTGCTCGAATGTGGGCCAGTGCTGCATACCTCGTCAGGGGGCTCGACGTGTGAAAGGAGAAAAGTCCCAGGCCGACTTGCCGGGCATCTAGTGCCATAGTGCCCTGAAAGAAAGTGGGAAAGGGAGCTCAACATCGACCACTTCTGGTTCATAGTGTGGGGATGTAACCCATGTCAAACACATCCTCCTCGGGTGCCAAATTCCGCCCATGTCCTCATCGATCGGTCCGTATCCCTGTTCGGCGGTGGCGGCGGCCTAATCCGCGGCCCATCCGGTTAGATGGCATCCGGGTAGTTCCAAGTGCCGCTGTCATCTCCGCGTTAGGCAGCTGTTCTCGTAAAGTGCTTTGTCGGTCCCGCCAGGGCTCCATGTCAGCTGAGGCTGGTAGATCAAGGGCGGTCAGCATCAGGAGATCTGAAGCCAAGGCGGTGTTTTTCTCCTTTTCCTAGCCATTCCACCTGGATGTCGCCGGCGTGGGTAAGCGTTCAGCACAATCAACTGCGAGACAAGGCAAAGGAGCATCGGGGCCAGGAGGAGGCTTCTCCAGAAGGACTGGGTGTCCTCTACTGTTTCGAGACAGAAGGCCTCCACATAGTCAAAAAAGTTTGCATCATGCCCATGATGTCATAGAACCGACACCGTATGCATGGTCCCATCACAATGCATTCCCGCAAAATTGAAGGTTCAGCCATCCGGAGTGTTTCATCAGAGCAGACAAACCCAAAATGCTGCTGTTCGGCGGGACTAGCCGAAAAAGCCCGCTATATGGATTGTCTCCACACTCGGTCGTGCAGTGGAGCGAGTTCCCAGGAACATGGGCTGTCCCATCACTCCGCCTCCTCGGGTTCTTGTCCGTCGCAGGAGGCTCGTCTCGTCGTCGTGGATGCGGACCGTGGCGACGTTCTTAGCGATCTCCCGGCACCGCAGGTCGAGCTTGTCTGCCAGGGGGACTGCCGCTGTGCACCGGGGCAGGCATCTTGCCGGCCTCCTTGATGGATCTGCGGGGCAGAGATGACATCGGTTATGAACGGTGGCGCATCTCTCGATCCGAGACGTCAGGTTTGGTCGCTTGGGCACCACCACCGGTGTCATCGGCACAGCCCTTGTCGATCGTCGTGTCGGGGTCCGCCGTAGTGGCACGATGTGCTTCCAGCACCTCCAGGACCTGCTCTGTGGCTTTTTTTGCCTCCGAGGACTCCCGCGAGGAGCTCCGAAAGGCCCTGCCCACTCGTTCATGGCCTTCGTCGGGGTGGCATCCGTCTCCATCTTCTGGGTTCAGCAGGATATCGCGAAGCTCCTGGATGTTTTCCGCCTGGATTTCCTGCTGCCCGGCCTTCTCCTTGGCAATCTTCTCCTTCCTGTCGTAGAACTTTGCCCTCTCTGCAACAAAGGTCTTTTTGAGGCCCTCCTGGTAAGCCTTCCATTTGCTGCCGGCCTCTTCGGACTCCGTCTCTAGCTTGCGCAGCTTTCCCTTTGATTGCCGTACTCCATTGACGATCTTTTGCACCGGGCGCATCGCCCCGTCCACCACCATCATGTCGTACGTCGGGAAGGCATTGGCATTGTTCTTGCCCTTCTCCTTGGCTTCCAATATGTCCTTGTCCTCGCCCTTGGGCTCTTGCCAACCAAAGGAGTAGTGTCCCGAGCGTTGCCACGATCCATGGGCATCTTCTTTCCATCGCTGCTGCCTGCCCATTGAGGATTCTGCAGCTTCTCGGCAGTGTGGCTGGGTGTGGTTGGCTTGGAGCCTTGCCAAGTCCGCCCCGGCCTTGACCTGGCCAGATCAACTCTGGCCCTTGCAAGTGACCGGTACCTGCGAAGCCGGCGATGCCAGGTAATTAGGGGATCGCGGATGGTACAGGGCTATGGCTTCAAACGTGCTCGCAGGCACTGGGGCCGTCGGCTATTCTCTGCGCCCTAGCAGAGCTCGATCCGAAACCTATGTATGTGTGTGTATATGTATATACATACACACATATACTTACGTGCATAGAGGTGTCTCATCTTTCTGAAACCCAACACATGCACTTTGAGGCAAACAACTCCAGTGACATTACTGCCCCTAAAGGCCTTCAAGGCCACGGGTTCTGCAATTACCCTTGAGCCCTCCTTCTCTCTCCCCGTCCCCGGTCGTCCCTAGTCTCGCACTCTTCCCTAAAATGAATCTCTGAATCTTCGGCTCCAGTGCTCTCGAGATCTGGGCCTGTGCCCTTGGAGCTGAGGTCTCGACACGATCTGCGTTGCCGAAAGGAGTTGTGGAAAGTGCAGCAGCAGGTATTTCAACATCCTGGGTTCAACATTACCTAAAGGGAGGGTTGGGACTCAGGATGTCAGTGTCCGGGACACGGCGAGATACGGCGAGTCCTTGCCGACTACATTTCCGACCCCAAGATGCAGCCGAGGTTCAGGACGTTGAAGAGGAAAAGCGTTATCACAATGATGGCCTGGTTCGGATTGCAAATAAAGGCCCGTCAGCGTCAGCATCCCAAGAGCCACGCCAGACGACTACGATCCATCTTGATCCGCAGCCACAAATAATCCTTGGCCGACTTTTCTAGTCCAAGAGAAAACTTCCCGTTCGACTTGCACACCTCTGGCCTAGTCTGGCCTCAGTGGCCTAGGCCCTGTCCCCACGCACACCCCTGCATGCAACAAACATGCGTGCAGCCTTCACAGTGTACTAGGCCAGGCCTGCGAGGGTCTCTACTTAGCGAGTGGGGAATAACAACGTCGCTGGTCGCAAACCTGCGTCTCGCAAAAGCTTGTAATTTCGCAACACCTCGTGCAACGAGGGAGAAGACTTCCGCTTGTTTCATAATAAAATGACCAACTAATAGGTCAAGCAGTAGTAGCACTGGCACTACTACAGGTAGCTTGCTTCAATGCTACGGTCTTTCCCCCAGTTCAGCTAGCTTTCATGAGCCACAATCCTGGCAGCAAGGTCCGCATGCGAACATGAAGGACGGATCCGTCGTCCCGGGCACCACTTTCCTACAGAGCGTAATCAAGCGGACCGAAGGCAGGCGAAAACAATACCGACATGCGCACAGGCTGGGCTTTTCGACCATGGCAGTAGCACATGGTGCAAAGAAACTGAATAGATTCCGGGATAAGAAGATCGGCTGCAGGTATGTCGTACAACACAGCAATACAGTGACCACATGCTCAACCAGTCAATCAAACTGGCGCGTCTCGCAAGGGAAGCCGACCAAGGACAAAAAGAAAGGGCAAATGGCAAGGATCCTCGATCCACAAAGGGAAAGACAACGGACTGTGAACAGAAGCGGCAAGGCGAAGTCAGCGCAACGCATCCAGGATGTCGAATGATTCGCGATGCAAACACACCGGACACAGTGCTGAGATATGCTGAGACTACAGTGATTCGAACATGATTTCCGAGACAGACAGAGGCCGAAGAGGCGAAATCTTCTCATCCAGAAACCACCGCCTCAAACGCCCCGACCCTGTGCAGGCAGGAAGTGCCAGAGCTTCTGCGGCGGCGACAATCGCGGCTGGCGCGAATAAATACTGTTTGCGCTCGCCGCGCCCACGCCCACACACGCACGCACATACACACACACACACACACACGCGCGCGCACACACACACACACAGACACACAGAGACACACACGCACACATACACACACCATACAAATAACAGAATGGAGGCGAGCGGCGTAAAGATCTTCGTCGGACGTCTCCCCCGCCTGCACGACCAAATCCCCTCTGTTGAGCTGCTTCTTGCGAGTCATGTATTGCTAGCCTGCAGGAGATTTCCTGTGAACAAATCCTGCAAGACCATGAGGCAAGTGATGGCAAAGATCAGGGCTGGCAGCAACCTCGTTGTCCCGTGTGTGCAGGTTGGAAAACGATGGTGCAGGCACCAAGGCTGATTTGCACGGCACTACTTCGAACAGAAAGCATCGGCGTTGCTGTGGGCCTAACAGGAAAAGTAGTGTCCAC